CATCGACCGCTTGTACAGACGTTGCATTTGCAATCAGAATGTGCCTTACACACCTTACCATTATCACACTTCTTTCCTTGTGCTACACATTTACCGCCACAGTCGACATCTGTCTCATCTCGATCTTTCACATTATTACTACAGGTTGGAGCTATGGAGAGAAGACGTATGTTCCATTTCTAGATAGAATAGGGTACCTACCAACACATCGGCCATTTGAACAGATGTTGCTTTTGCAATCTAATGGTACCTTACCCTTCTTACCATTGTCACATTTCTTTCCTTGTGCTACACATTTACCACCACAGTCGACATCGGTTTCGTCTCCATCTTTTACCTGATTGTTACAGGTTGTATCTATGGAAAGAAGACGTATGTTTCATTTTAGACAGAATAGGGTACTTACCGACACATCGACCGTTTGAGCAGATATTACTTTTGCAATCTGATGGTATCTTACCCTTCTTACCATTGTCACATTTCTTTCCTTGTGCTACACATTTACCACCACAGTCGACATCGGTTTCGTCTCCATCTTTCACCTGATTGTTACAAGTTGAATCTATGGAAAGAAGACGTATGTTTCATTTTAGACAGAATAGGGTACTTACCCACACATCGACCGTTTGAGCAGATGTTGCTTTTGCAATCTGATGGTACGCTACCCTTCTTACCATGGTCACACTTCTTTCCTTTTTTTGCACATATACCGCCACAGTCGATATCGGTCTCATCTTGATTTTTAATATTGTCATCGCAACTGGGATCTGGAAGTCATAAAGATTGGTTAGTCGCATGATATATGATAGGGTAAGTGAAGAAATCATCTAGTCTGAGCTTATTGTCCTTGAAATTTCGGTGTAATGAATGTTCATGTCAGAGTCTTTGTGATATTTCACTTTTATCAAGTCAATCCTCCACTGAATTGTAATGTTGCCGTTTTGCAGAGTGAAATGATTTTGGTAGGAGAAAGTTTTCTAAGAACTTTTAAAAAATATTTATGTTTATTCTATCGTTTGGTATAAAGCGGTAGATTATTTTGTGAGCTGAGATTATCGTTAATGGGATTTGGCTTTCTTCTTCAACGCTTGGACGGATAAGTAGTCTTATGAATTTGCTTTTTCCAAGTAAGGTGAGTTCTTTGCTCAGACTTCTTATGTGGACTAGTTTGGAATTTTCGAGTGAAAATTAGTTTTAAAGTTGCATTTTTGCAGATAGACTTTACATGCCAAAGTAAATGCTGAGGAATCGAATAATCTTTGTGAATGTATTGTACATTCTGTTACATGCCTCGTCGAGGATGTATTTATCTGTGTTTTTATAGGAAATAAAGTTTTTCATCGTTTTTAATCTTGTCATGTTACATACTGCAGATTATGACAGCATCCTACATAAAATTTTCTTGCAAGAGTAATGTAACATGCAATGCAAAAGTCTTTGCACAAATGTCAAACTCTGTTCGATCATATTGCTAACTTTTAAACCAATCGATTTTTTTTTATTGGAAAGAAGCAAGTCTGAACTACAAAGGATGAGTGGCAGTAAGGCCATTTTTCTGACAAAAGTATTTTCAAGAAATAAATGTAGGAGGACAACCAGTTTCACATGGGCTACAAACGTAGCATAGTCATTTCGTTCGAGATGACAATTAGGTTTATGGCTTTTGTATGCCTCCACGGGATTATGACAATTTTTTTTTCAAAATTCATTGTCTACAAGTAACTAGGGCTATCAACTCGATTATACTGATCATGAATATCGCTATTTCAAAATCCAAAAGTGTAGCTCTGACGAGCAACTCGATTATAACTTATATTCTGACTTTACATCCTAAACTGGATTTTTAACCCTTCTCTTTGAGATACTAACCTATAAAATGTACAATGGATATTTTCCGATGAACATTCAATAGGCCTATTTAAATCAGAATGAATAGAGTCCATTGGAAATGCGCAATCATTCAAAACAGCAAAACACGACCAGAATGACGATAAACTTAGCAATAGGCATTCTTTTTTTCCGCCAATACTAGTGTATTGAACAGTTTTAAATATTAGTGAAACTATATGAGTTCGATGCAGTTTCGCATGCTCTATCAAAATATGATTGGTGATCAAGACACTCCTACTATGCTGAAATATATTCACATTTCGATTTCTTGACTTACGACATTTGCAAAAGTTGAGGTATTCAATATTCTATAAATATTAGGCTTAGTTCGTTGATCAAACTATAGATTTGAATATTATTTCAGAACAAACTCCTAGAGCATTCGACTTCTTTTGTTTTTGCCGCTAATTTAAGTTCTCAAAACTGAACAGCGAAACTATCAGTGCCAACACATATAAAACCCATAGAACATAAAAATGTTTACTTTTTTTTGGATTTTTTGGATCTTTTGGATTTTTTGGATTTTCTGGATTTTTTTTTGGATTTTTTGGATTTTCTGGACTTTTTGGATTTTTTGGATTTTCTGGACTTTTTGGATTTTTTGGATTTTCTGGATTTTTTGGAGAATTGCGTCGTGACCGTAATAAAGAAAATAATGATGAATCAGTGGTTTCCTTGCATCTGATCAACACAAGTTCACTGGAGCTTCCGTCATCAAATTCGAATTCCAGTGAAATACTTGAAATATATGCAGCAATACGAGCTTGGATAACATCAACAAAATTGTCTTTGCAAGGCTTATATGTGGCACAGCTTTTTGGATAGACTATATAAATGTTGATTTCTACAATTGAGCGATGAGATTCCAATTGATCACAGCTAAGTCTGAAATAGAATTAGCAAAGTATTGAGAATAGATACACTATAGAAAAAGTAAAACAAAATGAAGACGTACATTTCACTTTTTTCGTTATGAAGTTGACGGCTACGACGATCATGATCATCGGCATTTGTTTCACCATTATAGATCACAATAGCACTGATACGAATCGATCCTGATGTGATACCATAGACTACTTCTAACTAGAATTTCGTTCAATATAATTAGTTTAGGTATATGTTGTAACTAATTGAAATACAATTACTTTTCGAGCGATCTCATCAGTATTAATGACTGTAGTACTCTGATCCGTGTTTGGCATCAAATTTGATGAGAACTTTTGCGTAATTTTGCCAGATTCTACAATATGAAATGAATGATCAAAATAAGTAGTCGTTTCTCAGAGCATTTTTGCAAAAAACTGAGTCATTATCTGAAAAATTTGCTCGAAGATAATCAACATAGAAACAAACTTCTCTTACAAACGTGAAATAACATTCAATAGAAGGAAAATACTTTCCATCGTCTATCGTTATCGTCCTAGATGTATGCGCTAAAGATCATTTTTACAAGCAGTTTCTTTCCTACTAGAGTATCAGAGATGGGATCAGTTCAGTTTCAATAAACAACAACCGATTTCATTACTGTAGAGCATATCAAACTTTAAGATTCTCATTCTATCCGCTTGTGGAAATCAACTACACTTACAAGTGAAGATGACTCAGATGCTGTTTTCTTGCTCAGTTTCTTATGATACCAGTAATACGTAATATTCAGCATTAAATACAGCTTGTCAGGGAAAATTCGATCCATTAAATGGTCTATGTTGTTCAACTCTTAATTTTTATTTTGAGAAATTTAGGAATAGCTTTTTGCATTCTATTGTAAAAAAAATGTCATTTGACAATTTGGATCAAGCTCTTCAATATATGAAAGTAAAAATTTTCTTGGTTTTTTATGTTGAGGATTGACCCTTTGTCATTCCGATTCTCAGAATTTACCTGATATCTATTCATTAGTTTCAAAGCTATCAACATGGGAACTTTCATCCATCTTTGATCTACGAACTAGTACATTTGGATGTTCTCAATGTTAGTTCTATATAGTACTTAGTTACTTATGCTATTTAAGTTGTCATCTGAGATAGAAAATTTGAAAATATGTAACGAAAATAAGTGAATAAATAGTATAGTAAAAGTGACAGATTCTCACGCATATGAGTCATACCACATAATTCATACTCGAGGTTGTTCAATCGATAGCGTCAGATTGGACTAGTTCTGCCGAATATTGTCGGGACAAGAGATTAACGAAAATCTACGTAATTCGCTTGCGAAGAACATCGCTGTACTGTTGAAATATTCAATTATTACAGAAAGTTCAAATGAAAATCACCTAGTTTTAAGCACTTTCTGTGAACACTATATTTCGATCACTATACACCTTTCTCATTTCACAGTTCGACTTTTATTCAAATATATATTTCCACTAGTGATAGAAAATAATTTTTAAAAGATTTATCACAGTGATGTGATAAGCATATTGCAAGAAGTTCTAGTGAGCACCTTCTGAATGAATTTTGTCAGCTTTATTTCTCTTGATCAATAAAAATTTATCAATTAAAACTTTATGTATAAGAAGATCTCCGTCATAACTTTTTCTGGCAAAACTTCGGATTGCATTTAGGTATTTTTCTGAAGGACAAATCCGATAATTCTCAATTTTTAATCTCATTCTATTTTACCGTAAGATATGGATTAAAACTAATCTGCTCTCTAAATGTTGGACTTAGTGAAGTATCAAGTGCCAAATCCAATCAATACGATGATCTATAATCTATCAAGAGACTTAAAAAAACCGTCATAATAGACCTTCCAAATCATATATCAAGATTCCGATCAAAGATTCATCTAACGAGGGAATATTCCCAACTGTCACATTGCTTTTGAGTCGAGCGTATGCGCATCATGTAAGCACTAATGATCTATGAATACTTCGAAAAAAGTTCGTGTCGTTAGCTTATTACTGCCGAGATATTGCATTTTTACTGTATGTGTAAGCAAAAAGCCGTGGCCTCCTCAGGAACACTAGGAAAACTGAGTTTCGAATTTCAACTTGAAACTTTGTACAGGGACAGGTCTCAATGAGAATAGTTTATTGTGAAAGTATCACATCTTTTGATTGCTTCTAGTCTGAAATAAGAACATCGAAATCTTTTGGTGTATATAAGCTATTTTACCATAGCTGTATCTTAAGAAAGGAACAACAAAAAAGATCGGAAACTTTCACAATAAACTATTCTCACTGAGGCCTATCCCGATGCAAAGTTTCAAGTCGAAATTCGAAACTTAGTTTTTCCAATGTTCCTGAGGGAGACCACGGCTATTTTTTCTTAAACATACAGTGAAAATGAAATATCTCGGCGGTAATAAGCAAGCGGCACAAACTTTTTTCAGAGTATTCACAGATTATTAGGGCCTACATGATGTGCATACGCTCGACTCAAATGCGATGTAATAGTCAGAAATGTTCCCTCGTAAGTTATGTGAAACATCATTAGAATTGCCGGAAAAAAATAATATACTTATCAACTAAGGCTTCGTTAATCCAATCCTGGATGAAAGAAATATGTAGAATAAAGAGATAATTACTGACTTGGAAGCCTTATAACACATGGATTTATTAATCCTTAAAAAACTACTTAAATGATTATCGTCAGATATAAGAAATTTCGGATGGTGAGAATCGCCCTTTTTGATACAGGAAAAGGAGGGGATATATACTAATGATATAGATTAATTACGATTGAGTCGTTTTCTAAACTTGATAGAGAACTCGAAAAATCATATGATGAATAATGTTCGCTTTCCTAAATAAGAAGCTTTTCTCTGTTCGAAGTACCATTAAAAGATGATGATTATTGTAATTTGGATGAAAGATAATCTTTTCGTTAAATAACTGACTATTTCTGAATAACAAAATGAAAAAATGAGTCTGAAACAATCGAAATTCTCTTTAAATAGGTTCAATACTTTTAACTGTCTTGAATGTAATCTTTTTCTCAAAGATTCATGATGTGCTTTTCTCATCAGGATTTCTTCACTATACGTTTCTGTTAACGAAAAATTGAATTTCCCACTATTTCCATTCTCTCATACTATTTCAAAATCTTTCATAATAATAACTCAACGAACAACATGATCCACTGTTTAGCTGAAAGAGAGAGTTGACAAACCTGTGTTGTAGTCCGTCATGATATTTGCATTTAATTTTTTTAGAAGTATAGAGATCAATGAAAATATGAAGGCGACGAGAATCGCAAGTAAAAGTAGGCCAATGAGCATTCCAATGCTCCAAAAGATCCATTTAGCACACTTTTTTCTGAAATAAAAACACGAAATAGGTGTATCATTTATCTTTGGATAATAGAAAATGAAAGCAATGTTAACGTTGAGCTGATAAGGCGAGGTCTTCGAGTAACAAATAGTTTATCGACTGCAACTATGGTGATTTTATCGTTTATGGCTAATAGTATAATTCTCTAACTTGGATTAAGTCTATGGACATTTTGAGGCTGTGCTATAAGTGTTATTTCACTCGTTTCTCAAACTGTTCTAAGGCATTTCGGAAAAGTGAGTGAATTAGTTTTTATCTGAAAATTCGCATATGGTTAGATCTCATCGTTACCAAAAGGCTCCGAAAGTTACCGTCAAAACGTATCCTTTTATCTTGAGATATTAAGCTCTTTAACAGTTCATATTTTAGAAAAACATTGGAAACGCTTAGTCTGCTCGAAAAAACAACATTTTAAAAAAGCATTTGTTCGAACTGAATTTTTCAAAAAAAATTTTTATCTATGAGATCTAACTGTGTTCAAAGGTTCACACCAAAAACATGATATCCGATTTCATTTGGAAAGAGTTTTAGAATAGATCAAAGACGATTAAAATAGTGTTCATTATACAGCTTTAAAGGCTCAGACATTCAATTGAAGTTACAGCTTATACAGCTGGCTATGATCAATTTAATGCCTACTGTCTCGATTAAAAAACGCGTTCGCACTTGGAAATCTTTTCTGGTAATCAACAGCCAATTAGTATGATAGTTGTAATGTTGGTGAAAGAAGCTTTGACAAACTTACAGGTTCTTCGTTGTACGGATATTGTTTTCAGTTAATATTTCGTGTGGCATTTCTTGTGATATTGATGATTTCCTGTCGTCAAAAGACTTGGAATCAAAGTAGTAAGCTTGATTTCTAAAATGTATGATTCAAAGCATGAAGTAAATGTATAATTGACTGAGAAAAAAAAAAATTCAGTCTTGATTTTTAAAAATATTGACGTAAACAGCTGCGAACTCATAATTGTTTTTAGCACTAGCGCATTTTTCACTGGAATTCTTTTGAGGACTGAGCAACCATGAACAAATGAAAGACTCACTAATTCTGGGAACCTGAATTTGTGGAAAACGATAACCAATCCATGAAAATATCCTGAAGTTCTTCTTCTCTATACTGTATCGTATTTTATTTTCATCGACTTTAAATCCTTTCGAATGACAGAAGAATAAAATATTGAACGGTTGCATTTTTACGTTCTTATTCATTACGTACAGATTTTAGAAAAGTTTTCCTCTCAAGAAAAACAATCGCAATGATACGAAAATAACACTATATATGGCTAGTCGTTGTACTTGAGCATCAAAAAATTTATTCAATACTCATGACTATAAAGACTTTCTGAAGAGACTACGCTTTCCAAAGACATACACTTACTTGTTGATTTCGTGCGAGTTCTTGTATGTCCAACACCAGAATAACAATGTAATCTATTGATGTTGTTTTATGAGTGAGAGTAAAGCAATATGTTGCCTATATATACAACGCGAAATCAGTTTGATTTTTGTGCATGATTATCTATATGTGGATCAATAGAGCATAAAGCGTCAATCATGTCCTACGTTTACTTCATACAAATATTACCGTCGTTTTGTTTGCTCTGTCTTCCGTCGCTTACACAGATTAATTGACGATGATGAAGAGTCAGTTGAATGTTCGCTAGAATATGGACTATACCACGCAGTAGGCTATTTGTTTTTCATATTCGATGCACAGAAGCGACAAAACATTAATTTTTCACTAGCCATTGTTTCTCACTCGAAAGCATAACCTTGGTCGATACCAACCTGAAACGATATTTTATCACATAAGTGAAACTATTTATTTTTTTTATTCATGACCGAATCTCAGTTTTAGTGTGACCTCTGATCTCAGATAATGTTCTCATACCCGTCTCATTTTCAATGGTGACCTTGGTGGTAACAGCCTAAACGTCCTTTACAAAATATTGTTTCAAAAATGTCTCCGAAATTTCGTTCTTGAAACAGTATCCTTCTGAAAAAATGCTCTTGGTGAAAATGTCCTTCGAAAATGATCCTTACTAGTATGGCTCTCCGAAGAAATGTTTTCCACCATCAACATGTTTTTTCAGTAAAATGTGGGTAACGTTTGATGATGCTATTAATCATGTAATACAATTTTTTATAATGAACTGAGTTTCATTTTATTTTTCATTCGCAATAAAAAAAAAGAAAGTTCACGCAATAAGTCTTGCACCGTAATTTGGTTATTGTTGAACGAATTATATAATTCTTTAATGGGTTGTTGAGCAATTCGGAACTTGAACCGTTTGGTACGAAATTTCATTTCACTATTGATCTCAACTATTAAATCATGGACAATATTTAGGTCTTTTCGACTTAAACCGATGAACAACCATATATTG